CATTATTTTTTCCCCCGTTTATATGGTAAAGTAATCATTGACACAGGAATGTATGCACGCGGCTTTTCCAGCGAAAGGGTTAACAGGTTTAACCCTTCGGGAAGGTCTGTCACAAGAGGATGGAGATGAATTACACGTTCAACGTTGGAAGGACAGTTTGTTTATGCGTTAAGCCACTGTTCAAGTTGAGGAAGGAGGCTCTTCTTCTTCTTTGGTTGTCGGGCACGATGCCAAATACCGATACGCGTGAACGCATCCGGTGTTTCTCGCATCGCATCGGCCTGTCAAACGCGACTATGCTTCAATGATTATACGTAATCTGCTGCTTCTGCATTCTCATAATGCCTCTTATGCTGCTAGGCAAAAGATAACGGTTGAACCACCTTCAAAGAAAGCAATTTCTTTCGCAATTTATCACGCTGTTCGAAGGTTACAGTTACTTTCCTAACAACGAATAGAACGTTGGTTAACGATCAACATTGTTACCTGTCATGGGAACCGTTCGGTTCAACTTGTTCGAATATCATTAAGAATATCATTAAGATTACAACTGTGATTCGAAATGGGAAATTGATGCGCTGGATTGAAAAGTTCTGACAACCGACGCGTTGATAATTATAGTTTCGTTAACGACGAATGCAAATGACGACGGAATGCAATGTTCCTCGACGATGACCCATCGATAGATTTGATTCGGTGGCCACAAACGAGCAGGGAAAAAGCGGATGACACGATCGGGATCGCGTGACCGTCAAACTCGCGACATAAATTATTTATGAATTACCTAGCTTGTGTGCGGTGTCTGTAACGATCCACCATATGTGTGCTTGTACGAAGAATGTTGCTTCGAAAACAACCATTTGAAACAAGGCAGAAAAATGTTGATTCCAGCAATAACGCAGACACGCCAAGGGTGGATCGTGCGAACTCCGGAACTCTTTTCTTCTTTCGTAGTCTTGAAGCGTAACGAGAGACAACGATCGTGCAAGAAAATTCGAGTTACGTCAGAACACTCTGACATTATCGTAAATTACGCGTATCCTCGATCTTATGGTAAAGTACTCGCTTGAAAACTGCGCCTGTAACGTTCAGGTATCATCCTTTTGCTTTGCGACGAAAAAAAAAAATAATAATTTTGACGTTAATCGTTCATTGTGTAACACGCACAATGTGATACGTTTTAAACACAATTACGATGTGTTACCACAAAGCGATATTGTTTCAGATTTTTTACACGATCAGAAAACTCGGAAATACATGTAGGTATACGCAGAAGCAACGAAAAAATTCGAGAAATAGTTGGCCAACTCGAAAGGATTACGAGGCTAGAAAATAAAGCAACGTAGCTGTACTAGCTGTTATTTCTTCCTTTAATACAGAATTTTCTCGTAAAGTCCTTTCACGTGGAAAACCGTGACCAGCATACTAAAATGGTATAAAAGGGAAACGAACAGAAAAAGTGTTGTCTCGTTAGATCGAAATTACAAAGACACGCAACTTACATCTTTATCGAAGGAAATTTTCTAATTTCTAATTGACTACCGTGTAAAAAGCGTCATCAATTTCTCGACTGTTTGTACATTAACGGCAATCAACTGAATAGTCGAGATCAATTATTGTTGACTCAACAAACAGAGGAAATAATAAAAAAAAAAGAAAAATGTTAACGATCGATGGTGAACCTTGAATATTAATTACTACGATACTGGATGCGTTGGTATGTTATCGTAATCGACATTTTTCAAACTACAACCGACTGAAAAAAATCGGAATGAGGTTGCAAGAAAAATTCATTAGTATTTTCTAGCTGCGCGTTTAACTTTCAATAAATTTCATTAATATAATGCTTCGGGTAATCCACACTATAGGAAATAAACTGCTTGGTAAAAGGTAAAGGACGCATTCTATGTATAGGTAGAAAATAAAGTAGGAAAAGCGATTTCATGGTAGCTCGAATTTTGGAACAAGTCCAAGTGGACAATCGATCGACCTTTAAAACATTCGAGTATATGTCTATTCTGACCTTACTGGACAATAAAACGAACAAGATATCGTAGAAATATCGGCGGTAGCAGTTTCCATACAAATCTGCCTTTGACTAGGAAAAATAAGCTCGCGTGCGTTTACATGAAAGAGAGGCAAACAATTCGAGTTGGAAAATATTTAGAAAATCTTGTGAATGAAATTGAGACGGTTCTGTCCTCGAGGCGCGTTCTACATTTTTTGAATATCAAGCAGAAGTCTTGAAGAGGATAAACAAAGTGGTCGGAGATATGGAAATGGAAACTTGTTCTCGAACAAATCCGCGCCGCGTCCACGAATAGAAAGAGGTGAGAAACGTGTCGAAAGTAAATGGAAACGTATTGTATCGTGACCTCTAGATCGCCGTAGACGCGAAATGGTTACACGGTAGAGGGGTTAATAAGAGTAACCTCGAGATTAATTAGCTTAGGACATAAATGGATCTATTCGATCGTCAGTCAAACCGCGGGGCACTGTCTGTTCTGTTCGCGTGCTTGCAGCTTACCTGAAATGTAGCTAGAAATTAAGAATTGAATTATAAAGAACGAGTAACGATCCGCGAAGATGTCGTGAAATATCACCGATGAAATTACATCGAACCGTTCCTATCCAACTTCGCCTTTACCTCGATTGCTCTATTTATACGATCTAACATTTAAGCTCCACGTTAAAAACTCGTTAGTCCGTTTAATTTTTCATTCCAACGCAACGTTTCGAAGCGAAGCGAGCTGAATTTCATTAAAATTTCCCAGAGAAAAGGGAACGTTACACTTGTAAATTTCGTTATTCCGCTTTCAACCGACGAATTGTTTTTTAAACGCGTACTGGAAATATTTAAACAGATTATCCGTAGCTGAATAAAGTTAGAAAATACAGGCTTATTGTAATACGATGTAGGTAGACGTAAGTGTTATCTGGCAAGCAACCCCAGATGGAACATGCAGGAGATTATCAGCGAATTAATGATCGTCAACGTTCTATCGCATCGTTCGAATCCTTTTCAATACAATCCATTATTAATTGCCGACGATGACAGACCAGCTGTGATCGTTTAGAATCGTAATGGAAAAACCTGTTTGAAATCGATGCAACTCACTATGAGTCCCATCGTTACAAGATGGCAAGCATTACGTGTTCTTACATTAAAGGGAGTTATTTTTCTTGAAGCTCTTTTACGCGAAGCAATCCAGCTTTGTTGTTCAGATATTTTTGAAATTCTTCTTATACAACGCGCGAAAAAGATTTCCAACAACTTTTGTGTCTGACAATGAGACACATTGAATTGTAAATATCGAAGAAGGTCGGCCAACGAGATCACTGATTGGCCATGTATTATCGATACCAATGGCTTAGGTAATACGGTAAAACGTACCGTAAGGTAATTGCGCGAAACGTTAAGTAGGGTTTCATTTTTGTTAAATCGACATTTATCGCGTTTAATCAGGTTTCAGTGTCGCATCGCGTCGACCGTATGTTTCTCGAACGTTTCTCCGTTTCGTGAGATTTCTACATATTCGCGCGTGCGAGCGCAATGGAAGAAACCTGACGACGATAATTTAATTAACAACTTACAACTTTGATCGAGATTCTCGCTCGGTTCTAACTCTTTCAACTGTAAAAATCTTCAGGAGATTTCTCGTTTCGAACGAATGAATATTTAAATAAAAAAAAAAAAAAAAAAGAAGCTTTGAACGAAGACAGAATGGAAAAGATAGTAACGTGCGAGGACAAAGGTTACGATCATGATTACAGCTCGATTTAAGAACGGTTTTCCCTGGAGATTCGTGCGTCACTAGATCCGCGAAGGAAACTCGTTCACGCGCGGATAATTTACTTATTCACCGCTAATAAACCGACACAATACGCAATTTGGTGATTACGGTGAATGAACGTAGATCTTGAGAACGTTGTTCGACGTTCACGGTGCAATTGAGGTGCATAGAGTCTCGAGCTTTTATCAATCAGACGAACGAAGAATTACGATAATCCGACATCAGCAGATATCGCTTATTGTTAGTCTAAGTGTTCAATACCTGTTTCGCCTTCCAGAACGAACTTTGTACATTGTGCCTGACAAGTCGGTAAAAAATAAATATTAAACTCGTGAAACTCGTGAAACTCGTCGAGCAGTGACGTTGGTGGAAAATTGTTCGCGATATGACACAGGAGAGGAGAGGAGGATCGAAATCGAAGAAACGCGAGTTGAACGATGTCATGGTTCACGCGACACTTCTGGGAGGCGTGACAATTTATGACTTTTCGACCTACTATCAATCGAGTTTAATGCGCACGGGTCAATGGCAACGTTATTCCTCTCTGCTGTACCCTTCTCGCTCTTCCCTGTCGATAAGCTTGTCTGCCAATTAAGCTTACCAGAACACGCGAATCCCTGCCGCGAATAACCGTAACCACCACGAGATCTTTTCACGAGCAAGTAAATATTTTCTGATCGATTTCCACTCGACGTGCGAGCTCTGCGCACCCAACGGCCCTCAACATTCGATGTTGAAACGTTTCTATTCTTTTCACAATTACCAATCTATCTGGAAAGCTCGTAAGTTTCGTTCGGTGAATACGTAAGATCGAGATCGATCGCGAATCGAATAAGAGAGAATTGATAGAATAGAATTTTAGAGAGGTTGCGCTCAAGCCCTTAGAATCCCTTCCAATTTTTCGATTGGCGAATAATCAAATATACACGCTTCGTTTCACAAGCTGAACATTTGAAAAATTTCACTTTCTAGTCGAACGAACTTTCGTTTCGAGCATCGTTATAATTAGCACTTCGGCGGTATATGTTATAAACTTGTTCGTAAGCTGCACGCTTCGATTGACTTGTATTTTTACAAGCGAAAGAGATTCGTAATACCGTCACGAACGCGATCAGACACTCGTCGAGCGTTTCACGCGTAGCAGATATTCAAAAGAGAAAAGAAGAAGAGGAGGTGATCGTAACATCGGTGTTGCGTAACGCTTACCTTTCTCACTTTCCCTTCGATCTTTCGGTGAACCAAGCACAAGAACTGTTCCGTGCTCACCCACGTGCCAGATACACTCCGTTTCCTCTTTGCTCCGTAAAACAAAGACCACGCGAGGCTTGCAACCTTGGCCTTTCCAACGCCAGATTCATCCAGCTGGCCAGTCTCTAGCGTAAAGTTTATCCTTCGTGGGCTTCTTTCGAAGCCATTAGCGTAACACGATGGAGAGGGAACGGTCCAGGTGACACCGATCCAGTAACTGACCTTCTCAACGCAACCGGTTCTCCAGCGCGTCTCTTTTTCTTCTTTTCTTTTCTTTTCTTTTCTTTTCTTTTCGTTCGCCGTTCGCCGTTCACCTCGCGCACACCTTACTTGCTTGCTACAACTGGACGACAACGACGACTAATGTTTTCGAACGGCACGGAATGATAGAATAGAACGATAAAGAGGTAGGAATGGAGCGGAACGCGAAGCGGAGTCGAGTCGAAGCAGCCGACGTCTCGGCGTAGACTGGCGAAGAGAGGTGACCGGCCGCGAGTCGACGCCAACGTCGACGTGTTGTCGTCGTCATCGTCGTCGTCGACGAGAAGAACGAACGACGCCTGGCGCGATTGGTCAGAGCCCGTTTGGTTTCGTGTCTGTAGACCACCGACCACCGACAGTCAACGCGCTCTTTAATTGAGTCGTACGGATATAGAACGATTAAATCCGCGGGAAAGCAGGCAAGGTTACGGATTATGGAATTTTACGCGACATTAGTGAGCATCGATTACGGTAATTGTCGAACCGAGTAAAGTAACCGATAGTTTGTCAATTATCGCTTTCGCTGCGATAACCCCGTGCGACAGTCGAACAGATTCGCGGGGAAAAATGAATGGATTGGACGCGGAACGTGGGTGGTAGCCATGTTTTCGGGTACAGACACGAAATTAAAGTCCATGGAAAGGGGCCGGATACCGAGACACGCGATATCTTCGGTCCGCTGAATTTCACTACGCTTCCTGTGCAGGATATTCAAACGAACGAGTGACCGACCAAAACGAAAGTATCAACTTGTTCCGAAAGCAAACTTTGATCGTGATCGTCGAAACGTATCCGGCTAAAGGAAATACGAATCATACGTTCATCGGGTGACTGGTCGGTTGACCAGTCCGTCCATCGAAAAACGTGAATGACACTGGTATTGTGGGTGGTAGCCTTCTGTGTCTCACTCTGTTCACTTTATTTTTATTTAGAAGAACCCCTTAATTAAGCGAGCGAAGAAATTATACGCGTCGAATAGCGTGTTTTTTTTTGCGCTTCTTTCAACGGTCTCATAATAAGTAAGATAAATCTTTCGCAGAAAGTGGAATCAGTTGCTCCCAACTTTTCCCAGAATTCAGAATTCAGCACCGCTGTATCGAACCGAATCACGTTATTTTCCACGCAATTATAAACGTTCGTGTATATCCTTCAACGATACACACAGGTGCTCTGCAGGAAGGTTCGCACCGTGATCTTCTCACGGTTAGTGTCAACGCGTACACGTTGCTTCGCGTCCGGTATGGATTCTTCAACAATGTGTGCGCCGCGCCGTTTCTCTGCATAGCGCACACGAGCAAGGTGTTAAATATAAAAAGGTAAAAGAGGTTTGCGCCGCGGGCGTGAGACGCGAGGAAACAGAAGCGTCGCTCGTTCGCCTTTTCCAAACACAATGAAATCTGACGCCATTTTGAATCGACCTGTTGGCACCGGCTACTTCCGTTTAAAGTCAGAAAATTTTCACCCCTGCAAATTTCTCTACTCTTTCAATAATTTCGAAAGAGAATTGAACCTTTTCGTCGAACAGTTTGTTACGCATTCAACACCTTGCGAAGTACGAGATATAATCTATGACTCTCTGTTCGAGCGTGTCTGCAAAAAAAAGCGGATAGGTATCATCAACTCTGTCCGATCGAATTCGATTCTCTCGCATAAAACGTCCCGTTGATCCGCGTAGTACCGGCCTTTAAATTCGGCCATCGACCTATGTTCTGGTGCTGGTGGAAAGTGGGCACGCTCTCCGTGCAAAAACTGATAAGGGAAATATATATTCCCACTTGACTTGCTGCCTTCTATACTTGCTTTTTTTTCGCTCCCTTAAGCTCCCGAGCGCTGACGAGGTGTCTTGGAGGCCGGCCAATTTACACCCCACTGTTCTTTCCGGCAGCCGGATAAGAAAGAACGGTATCGAAATAATTTCTTTTTCCTTACCGTGGAATTCAAGCAAATACGTACAATACGAATCCAGTACCATTTGCGAACCGAAACACAAAGTAGGTACCGAACGTTTTATCGTCGAGCATCTATTTTGCAAAAGAGAAAACGAGCCCTCTTTCGTGCAAAGCCAGTTCTTTTGCTATCTCAACGAAGAATCAGAGAAATAGCTGCTGGTTAATCGGTATGTCCCTCGATCTTGTTGCACGGTGCTCCAACTACCGTGGAACGAGATGGTTAAGTCTACGTAATTAATCGCCCTCTGTTCACGCTTATCATCAAGCCGATCGAGACATCGCACCGCAACTAGATGTTAGTAGCCTTATAACAGTGCCTTTACGCTAAATTAAGTTACCTCGAACGGTCTCGTTCGTGCCGCTTTAGCTGACCGTTAATTGTCATCTAACGATCATGCGTTTTGGCAACCGCTCAAATAATCACCCGACAGATGGTTTACGTTACAATTTCCTCCTTGTGTCGATACTGTCGCGATAGAGTAAAAATTGTTCGTCAAACATTTGATCGGCTAATTGCAGAGGCCAGAAAATGGTAGTTTTCTAGGATAACTACATTGAAACTTGGTCAACCCATCCCATTAACTATGATTGCATATTATTACGAGATGACTCAACGTGAATTATCTTGAAAATGGAAGGCTACCGACCAATGTGCTAACTGTGTTTCTCTTTAAAATTATAAACAGACAAATTAACCGACGCGACGTTCTATCTTGGCACCCGTTGGCTTTTGTGTCGTAGCTCGTAACCTCGGAAACACAGCTTCATTCATCTCCACCTTATTATCCTCGCATTTCAATTACACGGATCCAGTTGCAAGAAGACAACCAAATTTCTTTGAAGGAACTGTATCCTGATTTTATGAACGAAGAGATAGATATTGAAACTTTAGCCGATTGTTCTAAACGAAGCAAGATCACGAAGCGAAATGGTATGTATCGTGTTATATGCAACTCGAAACACTGTACGTGTTGCGCGTATCAGGAGTACACGGTATTTAGTAGGGAGAACAGCACTTGCCGCAAGTGTACTGCACTGTAAACCTAAAATCAACGATTATGGCTGAAATAGAGATGCAAGCGTTTACCACAAATGCGGAAACACCAGGAACAAACTCCAGAATCCAACGATCGACTGATGTTACGGCTATCAGTAGCAACCTGCCTTTACAATTTACATCGGATCCTGCCAGATGGTTACAACGCAACAATTAGTGCAAACGAGCGAATAATTGTAACCTAAATTTTCTTTTTCATATACCGTCTGTGTTTCTTTCGCGCAAAGAGAACGATAAAACAATAGATTTCATATTTCGAAAAAACTGCCTCTTATGCAACTTTTTCCTTGACGATATGCAAATCCACATACTGTATGTACGTAGTATAATAAACTACCGTGACGATATGTATGATACGAAGAGAACAGCTGTTCCAATAGTAATCCATATGTTTATTTAAAATAAGTTTTGAAATGGTTGGTTCGTAATGAAGCGAGTTCCATGAATTATGAAAGAATCCGTATACGCGTCGAACTTTGCTCGCAACCAATATCGGGCATCTGCCTTATTCTTGGTCGTTCAAGGAAACGTGATTTGCATACATCGACACCTTTCTAAGGCAAGAATTCCAGTTTAAAGTAAAGAAAACTCGTAGTACAGGGTGGCATTCGTTTAGCGAAAACTGCAATAACCGGTGCAGCACGATTAAGAAGCAAGAAGCCTTAGAGGTTGAGATTACGTTATCGAGGGTTCCTGAAATTGCACAACATTTCGCAATTCTGGCACGCCTAATCCCCAAGAACGGTCAGAGTATCCTGGCAACGATTTTCCCGCATTCGCTCTGCTCCCTACCGTTTCCAAATATAGTAGAACCGTTTTGCAATGTATGTATCCAACGGCGCGACAGGAGGTAAGCTCGAGATTTTCCATAAAACTCCTCGTCACACTCTGATATCAATATCGTTATCTCCGCTATTTATTTTCATGTCTAAAAATAATACTTTTTTGGCGTCAGATAATTGCAAAATGAAAGTGAAACAAAGCATCTCTTATTCGTTTCTAAACGTTGAGAGGTAGTAAGAACGAAACAGCGAGAAGATGGAGGAAAGTCGGGACGGGGCGGCGTTAAACGAGGAAATCCAGCTTGGTAGGATAAATGAGGTTTGTAAAATATTTTCAAGGGTGTTGGCTCGTAACGCGGGACACGTAGTTCGCATCGATCAGCGGCAGGCTCGTTTAAGGCAAGCAATATAGGAAAAGCACGTACTTGCCAAAAGCCGAGAGTAGCTGAGAGAAGCCTACACAGGGTAGGAGTTGGCCATTATCGTGCTTATACCCTACCAGCCAACCTGGAAACACTTGCGAACCGTAAACTATCCAAAAATATCAATGCGTTCGAACGCGTTCGCTCGAATGCGAGTGCTCCGAAAAATCGCAACGAAACTGAAGAAAATCACGATTTATTGTTTCACGGTTAGCCGGCATCCTAGAAGGAAGAAATTTCCTTTCCGATCACGTTCGTTACAGAGCTTAGGTAACCAATAAAAGCATCCAAGATCGAGCCTTTCTTTTTCTTTCCAACCGAATCGTTTGAAAGTTTGTAAGCTTGGACGCTTGTAATATCGAGAACGATATTCGAGGAAATTCAGGGACGAAAAATGCAGGAAAAAGAATTCTATGCATCGTAAAAATTAGCATTGACTTTTACGATAACAAATTCGGATTGTAGATGATTATTAAATACCTTTTTCCAATGAATCGAAGAAAATCAAGAGGGTTTTTTTTCCGTAGATGATTCGACGTGCAACACTAGAGAAGGCAAGGATAACTTTGCTAGCTAGCTTAGTTGCGGAAGGTACCGCAAAATAGCACGAATCCCGGCATCGTCAGCAACAGGGCAGAGTTTAACAAGGAAATTGTTAGACGGAGCGTGATTAACCCCGCCGTTGCGATAATAAACGAGCCACGAGCTTCATAACTCATCGGTGGCCCAGTCTCTTTCTTCTTTCTTCTTTCTGATTACGTTCGCGTGTTCTTCCTCGCCTTGTTCAGCCTTTCAGTTTTAACTAACGCTTAATCAATGCGTTCCTAATTCTACGCTAATATCAAAAGATATTGAAACTTTATTGAAAAGAAACACGATCCTATCGAATTAAATTCCAAAGGAAGAACACGCCAAAATTGAACCGTTGCCACGTAACAATTTAGTGGAATTTTCACGCTTCTCGGTTGCGAGGCTGGCCTCGTTTCTAATCTGCAACATTACATGACCACAATGGGCCAAGAAACACTGTTATCGTTCACCCAGAGAAGACAATAGAGTTAAAAAAAGAACTTTAACCGTTGTTAGGTTTATTTTGCAAACATCCATTCAGCGTGACGCGGAAAACTGACGCGTTATCATTAGCCTAAAACCAGTTTAAGCAGTGTTTTCTTTCTACGGTCTGTAGACTGTAGACTGTAGACAGAGCGATGAAAGTAAAGTAATGTGGCAAGCAAAGCGTAAAGTGTTTCGTAAAGTTATGAGAATACGTTTATCGCGAGAGGGAGCGAAGGTAAGAGGAATTTCTTGCCGTAATTATCGTACGACATTGCCACGGGCGTCGCACGTGTTTGTCTCTAAAAGCAACCCTACATTATAAGTCGATTCGCTTTCATTAACGTTTCATTGCAGAAATTATAGCGAATCGTTAAACCTGGTAACGTTGCAACGTTGCGGGTATTTTTCTTTTTTTAATTTAATGAATCATCAAGATAATGCTGGAATATATTCAGTGGCGTTTTAAAAACATTGCGTGTACCAAAATGTACACAAAATTGTTAGAGTAATTGAATCGAAAAGCCGATAATTAAATTGAGATTCGAGCAGTTGCTTTTCCCACAGATCAAACATATCATCTATCGATACGAACACGAACGTAAAATACGAGGCTGAAAGGGAAATACGACCACCTGATACCTCTTGACGAAAAACTTTTTTCCGACGAACAAGCGCAATAAACTTCTAATTACTTTCGGATGAACATCAGCCTACACTCTCGGCGATGCGCGAACGAACTTCGAATCTCATAAAATACCACGAGAGAACGAACAACGAGGGGAAATTTCACCTCGAACGAAGGTAATTTAATATCGCGTTTTCCATTTACTAGAAATTTTCCCGTATTTCGCCACGAAATACTGGCAAAATTTTCTTTTTACGCAACCGTGTTTAACGCGTCGAATGCCGCAGTGAAAACAGTCGTGTATGGTCAGACAGGAATTACAATTATTCAGAATACTAGCAACGTAATGAAATTGCGGAAAATGAAATGTTTGTATCTTGCAGTGTTCCATGCCGTAGTACACACGGACCGTTTTCATTTCGGTACTTAACGCGTAAATGACGAAGATACGAAAACGGAAAGATTGGCTTAAGTAGATTCAGCCGTGTCTGGTGAAGATAAGAACAGCTCATTTCGCGTTCACTGGCACAGTGAAAACAGACAGCCGTAGTAAGATGCATCGAACCACTTGACACTTGTGTGGCATAAAAAGAGTAAAAACAACTTGAAATTTTTGCATCACAAAATTATAAATACAGTTTTAAAATAAATAAACTCGATGCAAGATATTTTTAGGTATTATTCTGTAACCAAAAATAATTCCACAATACAAATTTTCTTTAGCTCTTTGGCATTTTGCCTCGCTATCCCCATTTGAACTTCGTGGTAGTCAACACGTTAAAGTTATCAGATAAAAACGAGCATTCTTTCTTCATTTTATTGAAATAATCGACCAAGTGGTATCAACAATTCAGAACATTTTAATATAGGTAAGTGGTAACGGCGTTACGTCAACCGAATCTTTAATAACGAGATTTATCGTAAGACAAACTGTACGCGTATCGACTTTTACATTATAACCCGTCGTCATAGAGCCAAGTAACTCGATGATCGATGGCTCGGTGTAGCCAGAAAAATTCAACTTACCATCGAGACACGTTTTCCGTTGAATTTTCCAAAGCGAGCACACGAGTTAACCCTTTCAATCCTGAATACTTTCGATGTCAAGAAGAAAATCTCATCGAAGGAAAGAAAAGAAAGCAAAGCTTTCTGCTTATTTGCATGAAAACTTTAGTAACTCTCAGACAGTTTTACGATAAATTCTCAATCGTTCTCCTCCGGCCCGAAAAGTTGAATTTATTTTTGCAAATAAAATCAGTCAATTTCGGATTAGCTTATCCGCTTAGAGACAATCCCTGTATAGGTATGATTTTCCATTTCCATTGGGTCGTTTTATATGGAATACCATGGCACCGATTGCTGTCGGAATGGAGGAAAATCCAGGGAAAAGGGTAGAAAATTTGTGGCACATTGTCAGCCACAGCAGGCTGACGTTTATCGATGCGTGCATTCCATCTCGGCAGATTAAAAGCGGACTATCGCGCATTTAGGTCATCGCACACGCGGCCCCCATTGTTTTAACGTAATACGTCGCCGACACTGGATTCGTTTCGAATTTTTCCCTCTCTGTACATTCGCGTAGGTACATGTGTACACCCGTTTGATCGTCTACGTTCGTACCAATTGAAAAACTCTGTCTAGCTAGATATTCGCGCAGTTTAATCGTTTCATTTATTTAATTGCGTCAGGCATCCGCGCTCGACTCTTTTTTTAATAAGAGAATAGAATTACAAAGAGAACAGCTGCCACGGCGGTATTAAAATAATGCTCGTTACGAGACCTCATTCAGCGACTCGTTAAAAGCAACACAGGCTAAATTAAATTCCAATTTAACAAACGAAAAGGTGTCCCGATGAAACAAGTTCGATTAAATGATTTCTACCAGGCAAAAGAATACAATAGCGACGTGGAAACAATGATCGCATTGAAGGTATAACCAAGCTCCACGAGGCGACGAGGCTACTGATAAAGAAGAAACAATGCGTGATTTGTCCTAGCGAACAATCGAATTTGCTCGTTAACTCTCCTTCAACGTCTGCTACGTTTACCTTTTGTTACAGTAACCTATTCTAATCACTACTCTTGATAATGTCCGTTCCCCAGGTCTTTTAAATATCACTATTTCGTAAATAAATAAAATAAAAGTAAATAACTATAATCGTCCCGCTTGAAGGCGATCCTCGTTTCCAAGCAAAATTTGCACAATTGTTCGTGCTTCGAATTCGACGGGTCATGGAAATACGAGAATTAATTTCGCCATCGAGGAACACGCGCGAGAGATATTAATGTTTTCACAGCTGCGTACTTCTTAGGATCCGTAACTGCTATAATTTTATATAGAATCGTATTCGAGCCGCGTAATGATCAACGTCCACGTTATAATCAGTACGCGAACGCGATACAGCAGTAATACAAATAAGGTGAAAGACAATGACGTAAAAAGCAACGTATTAGGCAGAAATACAACGACGTGGTACACCGGTCGTCAGAGCATTAATTAATAATGCTTAAATCAAAGATATATGTTTCTTCTTTCCTTCGTGCTCTGGCTCGAACGTTTGTAAACACGAATTGGATGTAGATACGCGCGAACATAGTAACAGTCTCGTGCGACCGTAGTCTCCGGATACACCCAGTAGTGTATCAGCAGTTACAAGCGAAACATCAAATGAAACGGTAGAACGTAAAATTTACGCGTACCTCAGTTTTAACAAACATTTCGAATCAACGAGATTTATTCGTAACACGGAATACGAAATGTTTTTTGTCAACATCGATGACAACCCTATGGTTGTCGGCTGTCACGTGAGCGAGCGGGTGGAAAAAGTATCGGGAGACCGGATCGACGATGACTTTCGAACACCGTCGAACGTGTTTTGTTTAAAAGCTTGTAAAGTACTTACGATCGTTCGTAGGTCCGGGTCACGGGAAATTCCTCGGATTCCAGTTGTTTTCGAGCCGCACGACGAGCCACAGCTTCCACGATCCGCGTTAGATTTCAGGACCATCGATACGAGAGCTCCTCCACTTCTGTCACTCGCAATCGAATTCCAACGTTAATTCGCGCACACTTTGTCACTGTGTCAATTATCTTGGAATTGCGTCACAATAAACAAACGAGAACCGGTACGGGCAGCATGTGATTGTACTGATATCGTATGACCGATATCGAGCATCTGAGAGGACGAGAAAGTCACGCTCGTACACGGACGGGTTGCAGGAGCACGCTCTCTCTGCTGATTCTCGGAGGCATGATCGCACGGTAAAACAGACACTGTCCTTAACGGGATAATTTACGAAACGTCACGTAGCTAAAAATCGTCCCGATGTTTGATGAGGAATGATTGTCGTACGGACTCGACGATCTCGCGGGACAGTTTGAGGACCGAAGAAGACACGAATCTCCGGTTCCGAGGATATTTACCGCGAACATCCTCGGAGAAGAGCTCTCCCGGAGACGGACACGCGACCAACAGCGCCTACGAGCGGTAGCGCCGGTAACTTTCGGTGTCAAAAATGAGAACGTAGTTTATTACTTTAGCCAGGACGCCATATTGGCTGCGGTTGTTTTACGAACTACTCTCGTCATCTGACGGTCGTTTTCGGAACTAAACTCCTCGGTTACTTTCAACCTTTCTGGTTGCAAAAGCGGGAAAATAGTCGCGAGTTTGTTATTTTGCGAAGTGATTGTGAAAATACTGGAAGAAACAACCCTGAATCGTGAGAGAAAGGACCGTAAGCCGATCAGATCCTGAATCTACGATAATTCGGTGAGTAATTCAATTGTTATATGTAGTAATGTAGAAATTTGTAATCGCGGCGTGTGTGATGCATGAATTTAAAATGGCGGTACTGCGATTATGGATTGTCAATGTGATTATTGAAAAATATCTCGTTTCGGTAAACTTTAGCCAACGGCGTACTTATTTTTCCTTTGTATACTCTCAGTTTCTGATACCTTTTGAATATTATCTTTTTGGTAGAGAAACATTAAAAGAGTTTTTCGAATTCAGCAATTCATTGGTTTCCAAAGCGTGCTGTACTTCTTTTCATGTCGCGATCTTTACATTTTATTCTTGCAATTTCAAAGAGTACACGGAAATGGGGATTAAAAGGAAGATCAATCGATTCGAAAATTTCGAGTTTAATCTGTTTAGTGGGCTAACTGTACAGTTTATGTACCAGAACTTCGATCGTTTGCACGAAGCAGTAGCAGTTCTAGTTGAATGGTCGTTGAAATTGCAAGATCAAAGCGAAAAACTGGTCGAAATTCATGAAAAGTTACAAAAAAGTATGAAAGATAAAAAATTATCGGAAAATATTTACAGTTTCGATAAGAATTTCGAAAAAGTCTTTTAATTCTACGTTGAGCAGACGTTCTATAGTATAAGCGAACATTTTATGAGATTCTCCTGGTTCGATAAAAGAATATCTTGCGAATATACGTAATAAAACGACGAGAAGTCGAGGTCGAGAGATTATTGCGATGCTTCTGAAAGAGAAGGGCGTGCCCTCCTACCCTCTCTTTTTTCCACCTCCGTTACCACCCTCGTAATTTCCTGGAAGATCCGGTTTTTCACCGCTAGTCTCGTCAAATATGTTTCGAGGGTGTTTCTGCCTCTGAAAATTTCCCCCTTTCCATTCGTTTCTTCTCTCTTTCGTAATCTTCTCTCGTTAATATAGCTCGGGTAAGAACAGAAAATTATTTCCAAGCAACTAGCTAAAAAGAAATAAATTTGCTTCTAGCTTACGAACAAGTAACTTGTCACCCGAGTGATATATGAACGGTAATTACTTGTGAACCATTGGACTAAAATAAAATTTTAAAAGTCTTCCTCGAGCTAGTCAACGTTAAACCTTTTTCTTATAAAAAAAGAAAGGAAACAGGTATCTTGCTGATAGTCTCGAGGCCTTCGTTTAAACGTTATTAAGCGTGATGTGTTCTATTGTTAAAAAGGGTTGAAAAAGAGGATGAAAAATGATGCTTGATTGTCAATGTGTCGCGAGGGAAAAGTTTCGCATTTAAGACGAATGCTAGCCAGTTGCATCGAAAAGTAGTCTATTTTGTCGTTTTGTTTGTTGACGAGTTGGCACTTTTTACCCTACATTTGCTGCTTTCTTCCTCTTTTCTCATCTCTCTCTCTCTCCTTCACAGTTCTGCCCTTTAGCCTTCCTCCTTTTCTGTTCGTTTGAAACGCGCTCGTTTGCTCATCTTCAGTGTAGCAATCTCGAAACATTTCTCTATCAGCCTGCTCTTCTTTGCTTTACACGACTATGTACATAGTCAGCTTTCCGTAACTGCTGGATGAATAAGCCGAGGATGCATTCACGCGCCTCGGGCCTCGAGGTTAAGCACGAATTCAATTGTGTTTCAGCTTGGACTACTCCTAGTTTAACTGGCCGAAAATCTTTTCTGTCATACAATCGTGAAAAATTTCAAAATCGTGACAAACACGGCCATTCGACGATCCTTTTCGGTCGAGTGATAAGCTTTTTGTTCGGCTGGTAAATAGTCCTCGAATTGAAGGACTAGAAATTCAATCTTATTGCCAATATCGATGTTGACTAATGAATGAAAAATTTCGTGAAATTATCTAATAAAGGTTATTTTATTGTACGATTCGTATCTTCTGAAGCTGATATTTGTCGCCATCTTTAAAGTATCCATGGAAATACGGATGTACTCCAACGGAGCACGAAATCAATAAAAGGTGTACTTGTAAATATCTAATGTGCTCATTCGAAATTTTCCCGGATACTTGGACGAAATTAAAGACCAACGGGTAAGGATTTGGATAGGTTAATTTAAAAAAACACAGCACGGATATGTATATGTGTATTTCATGTGTACTTCTTATATTCTAACATTGAAGTATGTTTCGCGGAAATGCATCATCCCAATCGTACAATGATGGACCATATCAAATTATTGTTAGTTCTCATCAACGAAGCGACGATCAAAAGATTCTAAACTTTCTACTGAAATAACTAACTACGAACGAGAAAATAGTATTTTTAACAAATGTTGAGCAGAAGAGGAACGACATAAGAACGTCAACGAGTTAAAAGTACAAAATTGAAAACATCGTTTTTAATTTAGTAATTGAACACGCGAGTAAATTATCGCGTTATCGTTGTAAATAAACGTATCGTGGTTATATCGTAAATCGCAACGTTTAAATCACGTACTTTACACGCAACAGAAATATTTGATGGCTACATGGGTATACATATTCATGACGTACACATCAACAGATTTTCCTAACACGAAATTTCGCTATTTTGTTAATTCGATAAAGATCTATTTATGAATATATCAAAAGAAATCTATATATATTTTTTTTTTTTTTCACTCTAAGGAAAAAACAAATGGTATCAATGGCGTTTCTTTGTCGATTACATTGAAAGAAGCGATATTAATGCCAAAAGTACGGTCAATACATCCTACGTTATCGTCTAATCGTAAATCTATGCTTCGAATGCACCATCCGCGTGTAGATAAATTGAACAACGTCAAACTTGAAAAGAAAATAGCCCAGCTATTTGACAATGAATAAAATTCGATAAGATATCGAAAAGTATTTTGGGTTTGTTTTGCCGTTATAAAGGAAAAACGTCTCTATAGATCGTTAAAAATAGTAAAAAGTTTATGGGATCGCGCGCGTACGATCCAACTTACACGTGATACGTGTACGATATGTGTGTAAAAGAATTGGCACGGATACACGCGTTATACAAAACGTTTTTGAAAATTGTTCCCACTTCTTAGCCGTGAACTGAAACTCCTCCGCATCGAGTTTATTATTTCTCTCACTTTTCTCGAGCACCGCTCGACATTGATCGTGAAATCACGAAACGCGCGTAAGGATGTAACACGTGTTCTCTATCCTTCGATTCCATGACATAGCGTTGCCTTTATAAAGGCGGTAATTACAGATATAGCAGTGGCAAATTTTCAAACGAGTACCTTTGCGCAGAATTTAGCTCGTGCCACTTATCGTTAGAGAGATAAGCATCGGTAGAGCAACGCGTTTTCTTTTAAAAGAAAAAGGATCCGATTGATTACCGATCGAGAAGGTATCAGAGTTCGGTGATAATAATTAGTCTAATGGTTGATCTTCTTCGGTTGGCCGTTGTTCGACAAGTGCTTCCAGAGGCTAGTGATTAATGGGACGTCTCGGAAGCTATCGGCCGAGGGCTATGCCTGCTACGAGCACATTAGATCAACCGATCTCGATTCTCCCCATGCGTTTTGAATTTTGAAACCCGTTGACGGCCTCGGTACAACGTGGTGCGACGTCGACGTCGTGCTGTGCCTCAAAGTCGTCATGGGAATGCTCGTAGCGTTATTCTTCTTCTGCACTTTCTTCCCGTCTTCCTCCTCGAAACAGACCTAAAAATATCGTGACATACAATAAGAGTTTTTTACGCGTTAACACGACTAAATCCATGGGCAGGTAATGGAACAGATATACATATTCGTGTTTGTCGCTCACCCATGAATTTCCGGTCGGTTTGGCGTCGTTCGATAAATCAATTAGTAGAGTCTTCTGGACATCGTTGGTGGTACTTCGTTTAACGTTGCCTCCGTTTTCTTCGTTAACTATGCCCCCGGATTTCCCTTCCTCTTCTTTCTTCTTTTTCTCGTTATCTTCTAAATAAGAGGGGAACCGAAAGAGTAATCGATTATCGATGAGATAATTATCGTGGAACTGCGCGCATTGGCAATTTGGTTAGCATTAACGAGACGAAGTAATCAACAAACAGAAATAGTCGAATCCCATTTAGGTAAATCGCGAAATGGATCCTCTCGCTGCAGCTGTGCGATACGGTTTCCTAGATACACCTTCATTATCGACCCGCGTGTACTACGTACTACACCGACACTCCCAAGAATCCGTGTAACGTGGAAATAGAAGCATCGCGTGCAAGCAGTGATCTCTAGCTTCCCACTAATTGCTAACTTCGAGTTGATTCGTCGCGTCGCGCACTCGTAAAACGAAGTCGCTTCATTAATTTCCGTCGAGCCTCTGATTACCTGATCGCGAATTGGCTCCATGCTAACCGACGCGAAAATACTTGCACCATCTTCGACTGTTTGCTCAACGTAATTAATATCAGAAATCGATACCTCCGTGTTCACCCTTCGCCTGTTTCTACGATCAGTAGAATTTTTTACTAGTTTTAATGTCATATGTCTTTAATTATTTCGTCGCGTCGCGTCGACGAGGATGCTTCTACGTTTTCATAGTTTACTGCATAATTATCTGTACGTCAGGGCTAATTTTCCTTGAAACAATGTTTGCGCAAACAGACGAGTTGTAGGTAATTGTAACAATTCGGCGATGCGGCCGTTCGGTCTGCACCGGCTCCAATATTACCAAACGATTTCCTCGGTTCCACTCGTAACATTCTGCGAAGCACTTTGTGAGTTAATTGCATTGTGCTGCCAACTCTTATCGTGAATCAAACCCGGTCGAAAGATCGATTACCCTTTCGAATCGTCATTTATGTCCTAAGAACGAACTTGACAGAAATAACACGTTGTTGGTAGTGGTGTGGCACCGAGACACTCTTGGCACGCTCTCTAATTTTTAATTGCTTTCGCCTTCTTTGCTCGCTTTCAAGCAATGTAGGAAATTGCGAGTGTCGTGCCGCTTTGAGAAATTTAAATTCAACTTTAGTGCGAGATGGCCGCGGCCGGGACAGCGAGAAAAGGGGATTAATTTACCTACCGTTTCGGTCGTCAGTTAACGGAGGACTTTTGTCTTGAGCGTGATGAATCCTAGGATCGGCCTGGGACAACTGCCAAGCCTCGTAAGCCGTGTTAAAGGCCTGGGCCACCGTCAGCGTTACCGTTTGCGCCATTTTTCTTTTAGGACAGAGAAACGCGTGACACTCCATCGTTTCATTCAAATTTGTCGCGATAAACGCGAACACGTGGTCGTGGGTCGCGTCCGCCGAACAGTAGGAAATTCTGAAATAAAAAATCTTGTGAAAATTTATACCTACGTATGTAACTTTGACTAAGGGTGTGTCTGCCCGAGCATTGCAAATTTTCCTTGTTTCGTAACAAAGGAATCAGAGGGAAGGAAGTTCCTTTGGAGGCTCTTGTACGGGAAGACATCCCGAAGCAGAGGTTGAAAGGCAGAAAATTAACAAGCAGGAATTTCACGAGTCAGACACGGATTTGTTGTAGGAACGAATTCGTTCATGTTACATTTGCACGAGATAAAATTAAGCTCTTCCAGTGCAATTGCTTTCAGAGAATATTTTTTTTGTTTATTTTCAAACGTAGAGAGAAGCAGTAGTAACGAATAACGATATCGTTTTTCATTACGATGGTAGAAGCCCTGAATGGAAACGTATCCATTCGGGCGGTGAAATCGTAATTTCCAACCGACGCGACGCGACGCGATGCGACAGGGGTGTGTATCAGAATCAAATCACGCAACGTTTGCTCGTCGACATTATTACGAGAGATTTCGAGCGTATTTTAGCTGGAATATCGGATATTATACTGGCCGATTCAAGGGACAATGTACAACGAGCCAGAAGCAACAAATCCGGTTTCGTTCGATTACAATTCTGTACAGCGCAGCGGTGAGTGCAACGCGTTTCGCAAAACAGGAAACGTCTCGAATACATTTATGGATAACCGTCTGGTTTCGTACGTACCTGTATATAGACACCTGAAGCTGATCTTCTTCCGTGGCTAGGTCCGTCATTCTAATACCCTTCAGGCTCACAGCCAAAGAAACTCTTTGCAACTTTTTCCCGCTTGCTTTTGCCTATCAGATCAAAATCATTTCATTTTTATCATTCAAAGTATCGTTTAAGGGAAGAATTTAATTTCGTTCGCGTGAGAGAAATGCACGTTCCTTGAAACAGCACAATGTATCTCGTCGGTTAGAAACTCTCGAGACGAACGGCTGGAGCTTTTAGAGCCAGGCGGAAGTAACTGCACAGGGGAAAACGTTTCCAGCAGAGAAGTATCTTCTTCGTCGTTGAAAGTTTCTTACCACAGCCGTTCTGATCCGTTGTCAACATCAAATATTTCTTCACGCTTCTATTAAACTTTCCCAGCTGTTAAATAGCTTTTACGTCTTTTTCAAATCTTTTCGCTCCGTTTAAATGGTGAATGCTTGTTGTCGCCATCGGGAGAGGAATATTTGCTTTATTAATGAAAAGCTTCATAATATTAGCAAGGAAATGCGGTTCGAAGTGAACGAAAGAAAGAAAGAAAGAAGGTTAATCCGGTTTGGAGTAAAGCAAATATGTATCTGTAGAGTAGCGGTGAACTCGTCGTAACGTTTTATGGGGAAAACGTAATCGTGAACCCTGATTGCAATTCTTTTTCGTGTTTAATAACGCTGAACAATTTAATTTACGCGGAACGTGAACGTTCTAGGAAATACAGTCGATGGACGGGGATCAAGTAAAGCGCGTATTAACGGCAGAATAGGGGCAGAATATTTACACGCGTGTATGTAGGTATATACCTAAGAGCAGTATCGTTGTTAATTAATACGGCAAATGTGCCGATCTCGTTCAATTGTATCGTGAAACGTTACGAGAAAACTTTTTAATTGCTTTTCATGAAACTGATTATACCGAGCCTTACGAATAGGCAATTATAAACGAAAATGAAAAACGTTACCAATCGAAGCGAAAGAAAGAGCTCTCGTAAGAGCGGAGTTCTTTGTACGATTCGATACTACGATAAGATTTATTAACCTCATCCAGCATGATAGTTTGTTTCGTCGAGAAATTAATGAGTTTGCTGCGACAGGGGTTACACACGTCCCGAAGATTTATGCGCAACTTTAGTCGTCGTTCTATTTTCTCGGAAACACCTCGATCACGGTTCGTAGCAAAGCAATTTTTCTCGAGGAACGGTTTTCATTTTCCGGTTACGGGCTAAATTGATTGCGCGTCGATACGAAGTGTGATGTTATACAAAGCGGTACCTACTTGTAATATTGTTCTCTACAGAATTTCCTCGTCGAACGTTAACAACGCTTCCAAGTTTGAATCGTTATTCAATGAAAAACGATCAATCTACTTTTATTGAAATAATTATTTGCAATCTATTTAAGCTGAGAATCTATATGTACCCACCATCGTAATAACAGTCTTGATAGCTTCCGCCGTGGCCTCTTCGCTCGAGGGCGTCTCGACGAGGGTACTGCCCAAATATTTGAGGGTGAACCTGGCTTCCGACGCATCCTCGGATTCTTCGTGTGTCGCACTCGCCGTAGAACCTCCTCCTTCCACGCATTCGCGACTATTCGCTAGAGCCCATTCCTCGCATAGCTCTGTAACGTATCGTTCGATATATGAAGTATTAAAAGCCGAAATAAACGAGAAAAGAGGATTAACTTGGAGGAAAGGTGTCCTCTGTCGAAAATAACTATGTGCGAACGCGTAACAGCTCGAAGCTAGGCAGAGATTAAATACGGTGGTAGACGGAATGGGGGATGACCAGGGTGAAACATTAGTGCCGGTACGTGAAACCACGTAAACCATTCTCGTTCTCGGCTGCTATTCTCGTGTCAGGAATAGCACGTGTGCCAATAATGGATGTCCATACGTATCGTGCTGTCGGTATTCTCTCCTTTGATGCATCTCCCATCGGTGGGCGCACCTTCTATCGATCAGTCTCGCGTCGACCAATTCTGTCCAAGGGAAGTCGAATCAACCACGACAGACTCCTTTGCTCTTATAGGTATGCGGGCTGCGGTGAAATTCGTGACGCTAACGCATATTACGTGAAATCTCTTCACTCCTCAAACTCTAATTAGGTACGTAGATAGAAAAATCGTTCGAGACAAGTTGAGGCGTATCATCAAAATTCCTACAATAGCTTTCGCGTGAAAAGTAAGAAGATATATTATCGTGCCATCGCACGATGTCACGAACGACAAAAGCGAGTTTTATTCCTTGGAGAAACCGTAGCTACAAGTTCGGGCAAAGTTGAACAAAGTTCTTACAAGTTTTGACGCGGCTCTGTCTGAAAGGAAATCGGTTCTGATACTATGAAACCCTTGCCGGTGCAGTTTCCCTGCGATTCTCTAAAATTTGATAAAAAGAACGCCGCGGGACATTCGAATGGGAAAAGGAAAAACGATAAAGGAAGGTGAAAAATAGTGAGCTGAGATTTTCCGTTAGCCCGGCCATTGAGTGGCGAACCGCAAATTAAATCTTCTTCGAGGCCTTTTACCACGAGACCCACGTGACCCTTCGATAACGGATTTACTCTCTTTTATTTCAGGCCCGATTCGCTCGATAGACGGTCTGGTCTGGCCTGGCTTATCGTGAAAGCTCTATTGCTTTCTCTTCTCTCCCTTTTGTTCTCGAAGAAATGTTCGTTGCGTTCCTCGAATACGAATTGCTCGAAATTTTGTAGCGAAACACCCTCTGCAACTTAACTACTGACAAACTGAGAAAATCGTAGGACAGAAAGCAATATAGCTCCGTCCAGTTAATTAATATAGGTTTTCAGTTGATTGGTAAGCGATAAATAAACGTCGTAATAACGCTGTTCCGCGATTTGTTAATAGCTATAGAAGCACTGTTTGTTTTCACATCATCGATGCGCCATCGATCGATCTTAATTGGCAGCCAGGCAGCTTCCCTAAATTACACAAACGAAGCTAATCACGCGAGCCGATTTGATAGTCAGAATCAGAATCGCTTGAATAGCGGTTCGCGTAGATATATTTCGCGTTCAATCATTCTGAAAATCCAATCGAGAAGGAAATCACGCTTGAACGTGATACGAAATCGCGATTGTTTGATCGTTAGCGCGACGAACTTTTTACAGAGATAGTGTTTGCAAAAAACGCATTGTTATAAAAATGTTTTTAGTTATTTCTCTAGGCGTACATTGGAGCTCATTACTCACGTAGCGGCGTGTAGTCGATCGATAAACGCTTTCAATAATAGCAGAGAAAAAAGCAAACAAAATGAGAAGTACCTACCAGCATTGAGTTGAATGACTCTTCATTTCCTCTATTTCCGAGTCCTGATATAGCATAGAATTCTCATTCAACAGGAGCTTGAAATAAAAACCTCTGTACGCCAAACTCCCTTTTCCTTTCTTCTTTTTTAAAAGCGAACGCTTTCAGATTCGATTCGATGACAAAATAAAAACGTAATCACTTTCTTTTCTAATTAAGACCCTTGCCGACGCTGTGCGCCGAGGTAGATTTTCTATGATTATTACCGATTGAAAACAGCTCGAAACAACTGCCACGCTCTGATAATAAATATTAGATTTTCTACTTTCTATCAGGAACTTAGCAGGGATCATTTACACGATTTGCGATCCAACATTACAGTAATTCGAAATTACTTTCTCTGGAAGTAGATCTTTTACCGTTTAAGCAAAATAGTCGACGAGCAAAATTCGCGGAGAGACAGAAATAAATGTAAATAAGAATCACGATAGTGGAAACAAGTAGCGATGGAAGAACGGAACCTCCCTTTTTCTCTCTTTATTACGCGATTTTCTGAACCTTTGAAGCCCCGCCTTTCCACTGGGAAGCTTTTCTATCCAGCCGTACGACGCGTTCCACCGCAGACCGCGGAGAGATTTAATTGAGTTTCATTGTGCAGCCACTGCGTTTTGAGATCCATTTTACCTCACGAATAATTAAATTTCGAACGTAGGTGGTTTTGCGGTGGAACGAACCAAAGGAAGAAGCGCCCTATGTTTTAATTATAATTATCGAACTGTATCGATGCAATAACTGCTAATGCTTCGAGTCAATTTTCCGTCCTTTCAATAACGGGATTAATTGTGAAGTTTCTACGTCTGACAATGAATGGAAAATGAGAAATATACGTAGCTAGAGTGTGTATTCGACGGCACATCTATGCGACGAAAGAGAAAAATCTCTTCTCTCAAAGACTCCTCTCTTAGGATGTCGAGAAGATGAAATCGCTTCGCGTCGACTGGCATTGTGGATGTCCTTTTCATTCGCGACACTCCTCCTCCTTCTTCTTCTTCACCGATAGACAAGAATAATTGATACTTTCTTCGTTCACCAAGAAACAACAGAATTTCTCGAACGCGATCGAAACATATTTCTTTCGATCTATCGTGTTTGAAAGCGTCGTTACTTCATGCTTGCGTCATTACAGTTTTTCATTACGTGGTACTTAGCGAAGTGTTTACAATGGACTTGCTGGAAAATGGAACAAAGGAAGATCGAAGGGAATTAAGCCAGGGAATTTTTAGTCGAAAATTCTTATTTCAAAAAGATTACGAATCACCCTTTTCATTTTCACGCTCTTGTGAACGCTTGAAAAACATCATTGCTCTTTTTTCGGCTATCAGAAACGAATATAGCAAGAAAGCAACGCGAGACGATCCCTTCGAATAGACTAGCTGTGGCTCTTACAGTCTCGTTTCACATTTACAAAGATTTGCATACAAAGCGTCGTGTGTCCGGAATGACAACTAAACGTGGTCGACTTTATTCTCGTTTCCCCTGAAAACACGTCTTATCGACCTGTTCTCCCTCGCTCTTCACTGTTTAGTCTTCTTTAGCCTCTTAAATTAAACCAAAGATCTTTCCCCTTTTTTTACGTAGTTAGACGCGAACGAGAAATATCATGTAATATTCCCGAGGGAATTTCCGTTGATTTATTTTCATACTGAGCAAACTGAAAGGCTAGTAACGTCAAGGTGTTACACCCTTTCGATTGACGACAGATGACCGTTCAATTTGTAACTTCTGTTGCACCCTTTGCTGACATTTCAGCGTTAATTGTCGTTTAACCGAAAAAGTTGCCGATGCACTTCGTAACCATATGGCTTTTGCGAACAAGTTTCAATTCGCGTCGCATTCAATTCTCTTGCCCGCGAAATAGAGTTATGTACGTCTGTTGCGAAAAGCTCAACGAATTGCGATATACTGATCCACTCTGATAACGTTGAAAAGGATCGTAGATTGTTACGCGACTCTTTCAACGAATAAAATCAAGTTAGAGTGGCTGTCCGTATTGCAAAGTTCGGTGCTCGAGTGTGCCTGGAGGGAAGGTTTTGTTGCGAAGTACAAGGATTTACCAGACAGTATTTCAGAAAATATGATGGGAGCCACTTGTAGAGGACAGAGCCTGACCTTTTATAAACTTCACTCTCCGAGCCTCGTAATTTTATTTTCGCTGAAAGGAACAATCTTCGTAACCTAGCCCTTACGTTTAATTTTCATAAATTTCATCCTTGACTCGCAGGGTAAACGGGACTGGATACGTACATGTAACTTTGTCGAAACTTATCCAATGGGCTGGTGGGGAACGGTTACATTAGGGTTGAACAGTCCGTGACGAATCCTATTAGAACGAATGGATTACCTCGAAATGGCATCAATTTCGAATTCTATTAGGACGACGGAGTTTATTCGGTTTCGATACACGTAGATACATGGTAATCGATGACGCGTTTATCTTCTTATTAGACATTTCTGTCATTTCTGCTATTTTTGCAGGAGAAAGCATTACCGAAACTGCAGCGTGATATGGAAAGCGTAATTTAAGTCGAAACAGTTACTCGTAAAAAACGTTCGCATCGCTAGTTATTCTTCTCTGGTTGAATCCAACTTTCCCTGCTCGTATTTCCACGTGTTTCCTTCGAATGCACCTTTCCGAAACTGAGACGGTAAATTCGGAAAATTTACAGAAGCCTGCAACCACAGGCGGGGTAGTGTTCCTGCGTTACGATAAATATACACCAGCCACGGCAGCTCGTTCGTTTCTCTTTCTTCTCCTTTACGATTACCATTAAAATTCTTTTACTTAGAGTGAGTAACGATCTAACCGTGACTTCGTAGCAGGTATATTTTATGGGTGAAATATATGTTCAAGTATTTACTCGTAGTCGCAGCGTTGTTGCGGTCATGAATCAATCCTCGTTGCTATCGTGTAGCGTGCTACATTAAGCTACGAGTTTAATTAACACGCCTGGAATAATTAAAGACGTTTCACTTGGTGGGTGTCCGTGATGCTGCTCGTAATGTTTCATTATCGATTGATTGCCGATACACGCGTGAATCGCTTATTTTTACGATAGTTTCGAAATGATCGCTGCTTATAAACAACATTACGTATCGTGTTTACGCTCACAATAGCCTCGGAGATTGCGTTACGAAAGGTAACGACGCGTACAGCGAATTCGAAGCGAACGGAACATTGATTTTCACGCAAAGTGCCAGGGGACGTTTAACTTTTGCTAGCGTTTGCGAAATCGAGCCGTGCAAAATAGGTAGACAGGGTGGTGGTGGAAATGCATACAAAGGGAACACGTTTAACG